CGCTCTTCGTGGCTAAGGGTTTTCAAAGTGGCAAAGCCCAACGTCTGTATTTCAGAGATTTTCTCATGCATGCCTAAGTATATGGCTGGCTGTTTGTGGGATAAAAACTTGGGTTTTCATATGATATGAAAGTGAAAAATACACCCCATTTTAAGTCTGACGCATCCTGGTCCATCCCAGCTCTGCCATTTAAAAAGGCGTGATGATCTTGGCCGGCTCCTTTATCTTAAATCATGCTGCCTTTTCTTCTCTCTCCTTCTTCTTTTCTTTCTTTTTTTAAGAATTATTCAACTTTACTCACTATTATTATTAATTTAACCAGAGAGAGAGACACAGACAGAAAGAGAAGGATAGTGAGAAAGCAAGCCATCAGGTCCGGGACTTAAACCGTAGTCAGCCATGTAGGAGTCCGCACCTCTAACACCCACACTACCTGCTGCCTTCTCTCTCTTCTTTTATTTAATTTGGGGGGAAAGGGATTGCTTATTTATGCCCATTCACACCCAGTTGACGCTTACTTACAGAAATGTTCAGAAATCAGCTCCTGAGGCTCAATCAATACCTAGGCGGGATCCCATATTAGATTTGAAGGATGGCGATGGCAAAGTTGTGCCAGACGGTTAATTTGCAGAGGGGACCACTGTGTCTCGTCCAGATGTGGTCTAGCCTCAGAAGTCTTAGTGAGGCTGGAGCTCATTGAGGGCATCTGTTTTCTTGTTTTTGAGCATGCGTGAAGGTTAAGGAGCGTGATCTGTGCTGTCTGTCAGAATCACAGTGACCTGCGAAGGGAGAGACAGGCTAATGAACACGATCACATTGAGTTGTCTCTCGGTAGTATATGCCTAGAATTCAGGCCCATGTAGCCACGTAGGACACCGTGTTTCACGGGGGCGGTGTGGGGTTGGAGGGTGGGGGAGAACGCAGTCATGTCTGGTTGGGCTTTTTATCTTGTAGGTAAGACCATCTTGACTCACACCTGCGCTTGTCCTGTCATCCAGACACGCCACCGATTAGGTCCAGGCCTGTTCTCACATTCTCCTTTCCAGTGACTAGGAAGCTGGGCAAGCATTTTCCCCTGCTTGAACCCAAGAACTGCAGAGCCACGGTTCAGAATACAGGGCGCTAGAGCGTAAAAGCATCTGCCTTCCTGTAGAAGCACCAGAATTCTTGGCTGA